GCACACTCTCCCGCTTGACTTAGTGAGAAATTTTGAGGAGTCTGACAGTCTTTATTCAAGACACCCCCCGGCACGGCAGGGGTCCCGGCATTGTGTTTGACACCGCACACCTGTTGCTGTCTTTGATGTGTTCATCCCCCACTGCGGAGAGAGATGGGCGGTTGTTCTCCCTCAAATGCAAATAGAAGATGGAAGGTGGCGGAGAGGGAAGGTGCGTAAGAGAATCTTGATTGATGTTCCCTCGGTAGATTAGGGCGGCCTCTCCTAGGTCTCCACTAAAAAAAAAAAAAGTTTGAGATACTTTCTGTACAGTGAGTGAGTGCGGCAAACTTCACCGCGGGGTGATGAAAGGCACACAAGACAGCAGGACGGACGAAAGGTAAAGAGGTCTGGCCAGAAGGAGAACCAGCGGAGGGAGAGTGACAATGTCATCATAAACCTGTCACTTAGGTGGACAGAAGCCACTTCATGGATTCTTCCGAGACCCCGTGTGTGTACGTTGGCGAAGACCCGTGTACCTCAGCATGCATTAGTTATGACATGGTCACTGTGTTGTGTACATGCTCATGTCTCTTGCGGCGTGATGAATGCGATGCGCGTGACTCTCGCCGACCAGGTGACTGGGGTGAGCCCCAGCTGAAGGTCACATTTCATCCTCCGGTGACTGGCCAGCACTAAATACTGGGAGGTGTGCACATGCTGCATTTTGAGCCACTTTAACAGGCAACTTTTAACACTCTGGGCTCTATGATGGCCTTTTATTTCCACCGCGCTTCCTTTTTTTGGACCATTTTGTCTGTTTGACATACTAGATTTGTACAATATTTACTGGATGAATCATACAGTTTGGGTAAGAAGGGTTCAGTCTAGGACTCACTACTTAAAAATGTCAGTTTTTTTGTGTTTTCTATCCGATTGCGTCATTCATTACTTTTTGTGCAAGGGACCCATTTCTTGTCGTATTCTTAGTTTCCAAAAGAGGCTTTTAATGGCTTACTGCACAACAATGGAGCAAATTAATGATGCAATTTTGATTTTAAGAAGTGGAGATACCCTCTGCTGACCATGGAGAAGAATTAAATTTTAATTTAAGAAGTGGAAACTCGCTCTGCTGGCTATAGAAAGACCGTTTGCACTGTATGAAAGAAAAAAAAGGTGGCACTGAGAAGGTATAAGATGTTAATTCTATAGATTGGTTCACAACCTGCCTTTGTGGGAACAAACTGACATTAAAAGCGTTTAAAAAAAAAAACGCTCACTGAAGAGATATTTTATAGTACTAATGACAGGAACTGATGTCAGTTACATGTATGCAGTAAAAGAAGCAAAAAAAAAAAAAGAATAAAAATAAGAAAGTCTTAAAATGACAGACTGTGTGTCGGTATGTGGCCAAAAAATGGCTATGCACGTGTGTGTGTGTGTGTGTGTGTGTGTGTGTGTGTGTGTGTGTGTGTGTGTGTGCGTGTGCGTGTGCGTGTGTGTGTGTGTGTTGCCCAGTGCGTGATGAGGTGTTTATATGATAAACACAAAGCAAGCTTGGGAGGAATTCTGATCAGGGGCTTTGCAACAGTTGTTATGGAAACAGCATTAAGCAGCTGTATTAGCCAGTGGAGGTAATATAGAGGCTGTTGAAACTAACAAACAGTGGCGAGCACGGCAGTTTGGGAATATAATACAAACTACACATTATTGCTCTGGTGTACAATAGCCTTGATGAAATTTTAATTGTGCGGCTAGAACAGAACAAAATGATCCGTGTCGTAATTCAATGTCTGCCTATCTTTCAGTTTAAGAGCTTCACATATTAATTAACCAGGCCAGAGGAATGGAGTGCAAACAAGACATTATTGGACTAGTTTACAACCAACATAGAATCATTAATGTCAGCGGGAAGTGGAACATAACTTGGACTGTTTAGTTCTGGCCTTACACCAAAGTGCTGACTGCTAAGCTTCTGGGAAAAAAAAAAAAATCACAAAAACGGTTGACATTGTTGATTTATTTAATTGTAACAGAGATACAATGGTTATCAACATTCTAGACACCCCTGTTCAAATGCCAGGTTTTTGTAATTTAACAAAAATGAGTGCACCACGAATCTTTTTCCGACAACTGAATTGAAATAAAAATAAAAAAAGGGAAATAAATCTCGGATGTGGCTGTGTGGGTTTACTCTGATGGTCTAGAATGCTTTTCCTGACATTAGTATGGTCACATCTTACAGCACAAGCGATGATCGCCCAACCTACCCGAGTAACGCTAATGCAGTTTTTTGCTCGATACACGTAAACAGGACAAAGGCAAAAATGGACTCTGGCTAAAAAGGAAAAATCAGTGTGCCGCCTCGCCATCTCCATAAAATAAACAGTTCAATGCCAAATAACGTGTGTGGCGAGAAGGAGCGTCAGCCTTCATTTGAGGTGATGGTATGCAATGGATGTGACAGTTCCAGTTTACAGACAACTCTGTTTTCCCCTGATATCTGCCAGGGTGATGCTCGTCATTAGACTTCAAAACACACATACACACATGCGTGCGCACACACTCATACGCTCACACAAGACACTCTCGCCTGTGGCCAGACCCTTAAACGGAATCCCCCCAGGGAACGCTCCTGCATAAGTCTCTTGCAGTGTAGGCGACCAACCAAGCCGCCCCCTCCTTCCTCCTGGGGAAATATGCCCCGGGTTTGGGAGTGTGTGCGTGTGCGTGTGTGTGTATGCATGTGCGTGTCTGTGTGTGTTTGCATGCGTGCAAATACGAGTGCTTTTTTTTTTTTTTTTTGTACATGCCATCCATTTCTTGGAGGTAGATGGCCTCTTCGAGACCTGAGTGGGTGGCTGATTTCCCCACTTGCATCGCTCGCAGTCTAGCTTCCCACTCATGATCCCAACTTTGTTAGATACAGTATTGCTTAAGTAACTCTCTCTCCCAGTCTCTCCCAGTCAATCTCCTACTGACACATCAGAATGTGGCAGGGCAGGGGGCGGGGCATGTAGTCAGCCGGGCCTGCCGGAATGCATTATGGTGTAGATTCACGTCGACGTGCAAAATAACTAGGTTTATAGAGTAGATCCCCGGAGAGCGATCCTTTCTGTCCCAGAGTCTGGCGCACACATGCAAACACACACTCACACATACTTAGAGTATTCCTGAAGGGTCAGTGTGTCGCTAGGCTTGCTGCAGCATTCCATCACTGGCCGTCCGTCGGGACAATAACGCCGACTTCCGGAGGATCGACCTTCAAGTCTCACTTGTGTCACTCTTCACATGGGTGTGGTGTGTGCGCGTGTGCGTGCGTGTTGGTGAAGGAGAGCGGCGTTTCGTGGACGTGTGTGGGTGTGTTTTGGAGTGTGTGTCAGGCTGGCGTTTCAGCTGACTCCTCTGTTTCGGGCTTTTTAATGGCTCTTATGGGGCAGGCCTTTAATTGCAAGTCTCTCTCCCTCCTTCGTAATCCTCCCATCCTTCTGTCTCTCCCAGCCTCTTGTCTCCACTCTTGCCACCTCTCTCCCTCCCGCCTCCCACTGGCTGACAGTCGCTAGGGGAGCCCCCAGTGCCCGGCCGGAGCTGTGGAGGCCGTACAGCATATTGACTTGCTGCAGAGTGGTTTGGGAGGAGGAGAGGTGGCTGCTTGTCACCACTAATGAATAGATGCATAAATGAATGAGGCGCTCTTTGTATGCAAGCGTGTGCACGTCTGGCGAAGGATGAAAATGTGAACGTGAGTGTCGGCGTGTGCGTTTTCAAAAACCCAGACTCGGCCCCGTGCAATTTTCTGTAACTCGGGCAGACAGACATTAACAGTTGGCAGATTGATGGTGATAATAATTAATGGTGTGATGGCAGCCTGTCCCTCACACATACACAGACATACACACAAGCAGGCACAGATACATGTATGCAGGGTGAGGCAGTCGGGGGGGTTTGGACGTGGCAATAGAACCGAGGATACTAAAAACAATACTGTTAAGTGCCAGCACCCTCCATCTTCTCTCCCCCCACCATCCATCTCATCTGGTCAGCTTGGAGCTGGAGTGCTCTCGTGCCAAACTGGGACAAATAACCGGAAAAACACACGCATGCACACGCGAGGACGAGGCAGAGCGAAAGAGGAGGTCTGGAGTAGAGATGGATGATCTGAGGGGGCAGTTGAAGGAGGGCTGGATTTTTGATGTGTTCTTCACTATTGCTTTGCGCCACATTTCAAACACTGATTGCCTTAAGAGGACAATTTACATTTCATAGGCCTGCACAACAAGTGGGTGAGAAGGGAGCCACGGATAGGGAAACAGACAACGGCGTTTAAAGTAGCAGCGAGTTTACTCGGTGAAGGGAAAAGGCAGCGTTGTATCTCTGTGTGAGGCTGTTTTTCCTTTACTCTCAGTAAAACACACCTGTAAGACTGATTTATTTTTCCTTCCTGGGCTTTACCTGTGGAAAAAGAAATAGTGCGAATAGGTCGGCCGAGGGGATGAAAGGAGAGCCGGAGGAATTAGGAATCAAGTTATGAGCCGACTTTATCGGACGGGGAAGCTGCCAAACTGCGAAAAAACAAGAAAAACTTTTCCTATTAATGCACTCGCTCAGCTATCGTGTACGTGCGCGCGTGTGTGGGAGAGAGAGTGTGCATTCTTGTGCGTTTGTGTTGTTGGCCTTTCCTCACCAGTGGAGGCAGGCATCGCCGTGTCTGCTGCTGTGATTGGTTGCTAACCCTGAGGGGTCAGTGCTCAATGTCTGTCTCCTGACTGGCTGCCTCTGTGACCAATCAAGCGCCTCGACTTCACCGTGGCAATCCGAGATATTCTGACACCCGCGCGCGCAAACGCGCACGCGCTCTCTGTGGGCATCAGCAGGTCATCTGGAAATACCTGTTATGTTTTATCTGCTTGTGACACAGCGTGCGCACGCACACACACACACACACACACACACACACACACGCACGCACGCACGGAAAATATATATACAGTAACCTTTCTGTCTTGCCTTTGTCTCACCAGGAGATTGCTGCGTATCTCATCACTTTTGAGAAACATGATGAGTGGCTGACGACATCGCCAAAGACCAGGTGAGGATAGAGCAGACAGTCTCTCACACACAAGCGCACACACACAAACACACACACGCGCGCACACACGCGCACGCGTGCACACAAAGGGTGACTCTGTCAGCAGGTGACTCATTGTTGTTTTAATCCCTACGACCGAGTGACTGTTTGATTAAAGCACTGGAGGTGTGTGTCTCCAAAGAGTCCTCCTGATGGGCTGCTCTACATGTACAGAACGCTCTCCAACACGGTCGGACTGCAAAGCACCTAGTCAGCTGGAAATGGAGTATTAATGAATGTAAATGTATTAGGCTAACTGATGTATAATTCAGACATGAAGGGGGGCCGAGGGGTCCAAGGGAGGTGCGCGTGTGTGTGCGCGTGTGTGTGTGTGTTTGTGTGTGTGTG